CATTGATATTAAGATGGTGCAATGGATAGAACACTGGGCCAGTAGTTGGCAAGACTCTTTCACGAGTTCAAATCTGGCTCAGATACTTTCTAGCTGTGTGACCTGGGCAAGTCACATAACCCTGTTTCTCTCAGTTTCTTCATCTGTAAAATGAGCTGGAGAAGGAAATGGCAAACCACTCCAGTATCTTTGCCAAGAAAACCCCAAATGGGGTCATGAAGATTCAGACAAAACTGAAACAAATCAGTGACAAAAGTTATCACCAATTCCTATTCACATTAGAAATATACGATTTAGGGTTTGGTTTAAGGAAATATATATATGAGTCCATAAGCACATGTTAAATTCTCTATTTCCTAAACAATTGTTATCAATTACTGCTGTTCTTTTTCTAGAGCTAAGTGGAAAACAGCTTCCAGTCACCTGGAAGTTCAAAGCCTCTGATGGCTCCAAGCGCGCTCCAACTTGATTTTTTGAACACGCCATTTTGACAGTGCAAGCCCTTACAACTCTTTCTCCTGATATTATTGTTAATTGTTTTTACTGTTAGTCTGAAAAATCTCTATTGCCTTGAAAGAACCATGTATTTGATTGTGCTCCAGCGACCTAAAAAAGGTCTTTATTTGCCAAGAGATTTCTTTTTTCTTCCTGTGGCTTCTGTTCCAAGACCCTTCACACTCTTTCACTTTGACTAGTAAAAAATAGAGATCCAATCATGGAGTCACATGCCTTATTTCCACATTCTGCATTTCCCTCATGATTATCTGTTTTCCTAATATGCCATGTTACTAGTCTCCTCTACTGTGGAACTCTTCCATTGTGTATAAGGTACTTTGCATGTTTTGACTGGTTTTCATAAGAAGTCTGACAATTCCCAGCTCTCTCTTAATAATCTTAATATGGTTTTGCCTTTTTCCCTACTGAACATTTTAGAATATATCAAAACAAAATGGAATAGTTTTTCAGCACAACTAGACAGCATTTCCTTATTGGAAAAATATTGTCTTCTCAGAAATTCTTCTGAGGATTAGAGAGGAGCAGGTCAACAAGAGTAAGAAAAGGTTTTGTTTGGTAAAAAGCAGAAGGGAAAGGATAAGGGAAGAAAAAAAATAACAAAAACTACAGCAATAATTTATTGCGTGTTGTTATACACATGTTATCCTTCTTCAATCCATAGATTAGGGATATAATGTAATATAATAAATTTCTAGCCAGAGGACCTGGCTTTGAATACCAACTCTATTCACTAAATATGGCCTTCAGCAACAAATGACTTGTCACTATAAGACTTAATTTCTTAGTCTGTAAAATGAGTGATTTAGACTAGATGATCCCTGTGGTCCTTTCTAGCTCTAAATCCTGTGACAGTTATGGTTAATGTTTTGTACTTGGCAAAGCATTTCTATATCCTCTATGTTGATGTGTCATTTGAGTTGTGTCTGACTCTTTGTGACCCCATTTGGGGTTTTCTTGGCAGGGGTACAAGAGTGGTTTGCCATTTCCTTCTCCAGCTCATTTTATAGATGAAGAAACTGAGGCAAACAGGGTTAAGTGACTTGCCCAGGGTCACACAGCTAGGAAGTCTCTGAGGACAGATTTGAACTCATAGAGTCTTCCTGACTCTAGGCCCAGATCTTTATTCACTGTATCATCTAGCTGCCCATATCCTTTATATCCTTATTAAAAACTATGAGGTAGGTAGGACAATATCATTATTGCCATTTTGATATGAGAAAATTGAGGCATGGAGAAGTAAGACTTGTCAAAAGTAAGTCAGTTAGCTAGTGGCAAACCTAGGATTAGAACACCAATATTCTGCCGTTGGTGCAGTGCTATTCCTGTTAGAGCATGAGCTAGTAAAAATATAATAGATAGGGTTGCTATCTTAAAAAAAAAGATGCTGCTTATATTACATGATGATCAACTGTGAATGACTTAGCTATTCGGAGGAATACAATGATCCAAGACATTTCCAATGGACTTATGATGGAAAATGCTATCCACTTCCAGAGAAAAAACTGGTAGAGTCTGAATGCAGATTGAAACATACTTAAAAAAAAAACCAACTTTCTGTCTCTTTCTTTCTTTCCTTTGTTTTTTCTTTTTCAACATGGCTAATACAGAAATATGTTTTGCATGATTACATGTGCATAATCTAGATCTAATTGCTTGCTGTAACAGAGAGAGAAAAAAGGAGGAATGGAGGGAGAAGATTTGGAACTCAAAATTATAAAAAAGGCTAAAAATTGTTTTTACATGTAATTCAAAAGAAAACAAAAAATTTTACAAAAAACCATGCTGCTTCTATCTTTCAACTTTTACAGATATAGAGGATGCCCTAAATAAAGCAAATGGCCATGGTGTGAAAGACCCAATAAAATTTCCTTTGCTTCTCTACTCCCTGAAGCTAGTACTGATTACAGCATTCTATGGGTGCCAATCTAGTGATAAATAGGTTGAGGCAGTATTGATTTGGACAGTCAGTTTTATTTCTTTTACAGTTCTTTGTTGCCTTTTATATCAAAGCTTTACTTCAAAAACTTTCTGCATCCCTTCTTTGCTAAATCAACAGAAAAGAACTCCATTCCATGGTAGTTACCTAGCTACTATGACTTATTTACAAAATTGCTCATAGTCTGCTAGAGGGCTCCACATTTTCTGAGCATGACTGCTGTCCAAATTTCCCTGCAGAACTATTCCTGTAGGACAGATTGCTGGGATTGGTGTTAAGGCATTCTGATGGATTGAATTCTAATCAATTCTGCACTCAGATCTGTCCTTGAAAGCAGAGTATATATTTATCAAATATATAGAACTAAAATAACCCATTGACTCTGGGAATGTGAGCTAAGAACAGCAACAACAACAACAAAAAACCACCAACCAAATATGGCAATCTACAAAAATGACTTAGGTACATAGAAAATTTAATTCCAATACTGACATCCATTCCTATAAAAAGAAAAAAAGTAGATAGAGATTATATATCTTTGCTAAGGTTTACTGCAAGCATTGCAAGTATCAAGAAAATATTGATAGTTAATATTTACATAGCATTTAAATGTTTGCAAAGTGCTTTACATAAATTAGCTTATTTGATTCTCATAGCAACCCTGTGAGATAGTTATCTTTATGCCCATTTTACATACAAATAAGTTGAGGCCTCAACTTTCTCAGGAATAAGGCAAGTGAGCTTAAGTGACTTGCCTAGCATTACACAGATAGCAATTCTCTGAGGCAGCATTCCAACACAGTCCTTCTTGATTTCAAGTTAATCAATCTCACATTTCTATGGAGGAAAAACCCAAGTCCCCAGATCGTGAAACCAAAGGGATCATAGTAGTGTCTAGAATCCCCCAGTTCTATTGTTTTGCCTCATCTCTAGCCACAGAGAAGACAGAAGGGGCAATTTGTTTATGTAGGTAAACATCAGTGTTTTTTGGTTTTCAATAAAACAAAGAGATTTATTTGAATAGTCCATAACGTAACATTTAAAAAAAATAAAGCTGCCAAACTTTTCATTTTGATCTAGAAATTGAGCAACATGGACCATTTCAGAAGATTCCCTGGGGACCATAATCTTATTTTGGGCCTATTTTAGGAATCTGGGTACAGATTGTTTGATTTTTAAATATCAAGTTCTCATCAAATCCATCTAGAAATTATCCAGGAAGTTTCATGCGATACTTTTAGTGATCAGTCAGTTCAGACTCTAAGGCATCAAAATACACCTAATTTACACATAGCAATTTCAGCACTATATACTTGGAGGACCAAACAACTTCTACAATCCCTGGAATCCCAAATGACTAGCTAGGACATTATAGCAGCCATATGTCAGTGGTCTCTAATTCTAGAAAATTAATAGAGATCTCTCTCTAACCAATTCCCATTTCAAGAGTTCATCCTTATCTTATGGGATAAAAAGGTTCAGAAGCATCTTTCTAGATTATTTAGATTTTCTTGCTAACAAATAATTTATCATCTCTGAACTAATATAGCCAAATTAGTATTATGATTTCAAAATAGCACAGTGATAGATTTAGAGTCAGAGGACATGGTTTCAAATCCTGACTCTATCTGTGTCTTACTATATGATTGATTGCAAGCAAGTCAATTCAACTTTCTGGACCTCATATAAAACATAAGAATGTTAAACTAGATGACTGATGAGGTTCTATTCAGCTTTAAATCTTTAAAAAGTTTTAAAATGTTCAATTATTTAAATTAACTAATTAATTTAAAATTTTTTTAAGTGTTTCACTAATTAATTAAAATTTTTTAAAAAAATTATGCAATTAAAAATTGATCAAACAATTTTAAATGACAGAGTGAGTTCAACATACCTTTTGTAATTATAATTAAAAATTAATTTGTTTTATTTATAATATGAATGCAAGCATATTAATTTCTGTAGCTATATTTCACAGTCTCAATTTTATCATTCATCTTTATAGGCATACTCATTTTTCCTCTCATGTATTTGAAGTTAATGTATATTCTATCCTAGTGCTACTTTCTTCACTTTAAAGTACTTTATTAGGCTTTACAAATTTCTTTGTTTCTCATATTTATCATTTTAATAGCATTGCATTCTTCTATTACATTAATTGTACCACAGCTTACTTAGCTCTTAACCAACTGTTGGGCATTTAGGTTGTTCCTAGCTCTTCATATAAGCACAAACCTATAGGGGAACTATATGTGGATCCTGTGTGCGTTTCCTACTCTCACTGTCAGTGTGGTTAGAAAACTTGACTTCTTATATAATGAAGTGAAAAACTTTATCAGGATAGATGCAGATCTGTCTCTCCACTCCCAAGCACCTAATACTTTATAAATAAGACTAAATAGCTTTTTATTTCCTGTAGTCATTTCCCTTGTATCTCCTTAGTCTCTTTAAAAGGTGGTGAACTCTTGATGTAAGCATTAGTACTAAGTCAGTTGCTACTTGGGTTATCTTTGATGCTATTGCTCATACACTTCTCTGTGTTTCTAAGGATGGGGAGTGTCCTTTGGGCTTATGTGACAGTCATTCTACTGGGAAACCTGGTGACTTCTATAGAACTTGAGACAAGTAAGTAGAACCCTTTGGGTATAAGTGCTCATGGGATGTGATTTCCACTTGTTTTTTTCTATGTGTAACAATCTCTTAAGCATTTTATGCTTGAAATTTATGACAGACTCGTCTGGGTCTGTGTGTCCTTACAAATTTATTCCAGTAATGTAGAAATTATATTAAATGGTTGCTTCTTGTTTGAAGTCAGGGGTAGAGTTTAATGAAGTTTTGTTTGTTTGTTTGTTTGTTTGGTTTTTTTTTGACAGCAGAGAAGAAGCCAAGTTGAGAATCTTGAGATTTAATTGAGGAACTCATAGGCTTTTTTTTTCCTTTTTAACCTTCAAAGATATTCAGTTGTTTTTAAAAATTAGTATTTATTTTTCTGTAGTAAGGTTGTTTCACAATGGAATAAAAAAAAGAGGAGAGATACAATGATGTAAATAAAATGATGACCACAGAGGAATGAAGACAAAACTTAGTTCTAAGCCCCACTGAATGTAAGAGGGGGCTGTGCACACAGGAACACCTTCTGGGAATGATTAGAATGCTTATCTTGCTGTCCTCCCAACCTGGTTTCTGTGGAGACTCTAGAAAATTGTTGCCAGGCTATAGCATATTATGAACTCTGTTCAAAGGACAAATAGGAGATGCCAGATGGGAAAAGTTCCATAAGTGAAAAACATATAGCAGATTTCAAGTGAGACAGCTAATATTTTATACTCCAGTATGCTGGCAGTGGATTGCCACGCCATGCAGATGAAAGCAGGTATCATTCTTTATGGTTTCTTAACACTCTGAATTCTCCCAATGCTTCAACTATGACCCAGCTCCTTACTTTCTAATTCTGTGCCAACCTTCTATCCACATGAATTTGTAAAGGTCCTTAAAGACATCACTTTACTCATGGTTTAGTGGTTGCAAATTGGATTGTTATGGAGAGTGTTCGGGAACACTAATAAGATATTGTACTGGGCTTCTACATGGGGAATTAAAGGAATGCAACTCTGTAATTGAGTTCCAGCCTACATCCCCATGATTTACAGCTCCAGTTGTAATCTGAGCTAATCTGTCTACACACACTCCAATTAATTCAATTCTCTACCAACATCAGAAGGCAGGGGAATGGTGAATTAAGTTGTAACTCGAATTGCTGGTATACATGGAAGTAGATTCATGTTTCTTCTTTGAAAATCTAGACTTTCCTCTCCAATACCCACCAACTTGAGATCTGATTAGAAAAACGACATAAAAACAGATGCCTAGCCCAGTTAAGTGCATTTGTATGAAGGAGGGAAATTTATGAAATGATTACACATGTTCCAGTTTCTTGCTATCATGTAGCATGTATTCCTTTCTGTTGTTTCGTCCTTTCAGTCATATCTGATTCTGTGTGACCCCATTTGAGGTTTTCTTGGCAAAGACACTGGATTGGTTTGCCATTTCCTTCTCCAGCTCATTTTACTGAGAAAACTGAGGCAAATAGGGTTAAGTGACTTGCCTAGGGTCATACAGCTATGTGTCTGAGGTTGGATTTGAGCTCAGGTCTTCTTGACTCCAGGCCTGGCCCTCTATCGACTGTGCCATCTAGCTGCCCTGCTCCTCTCTCATACCTCTTTAGAAAACAACTTGGGATATTTTCCTTTCAGAGTGTGGAGTTTGCTTTCTGCTAACTATAGCATGGTGCAGAAGAAAAGTCTTTGGCTCTGGAGTCTTAGAAGACTTGAGTTCAAATCCTATCTCTGATGTTTGCCACCTGAGTGAGTGAGCAAGTCATGTAACCTCCAATGGCTTCTGTTTCTTCACTTTTACAGTGAGGAGTTTGGATAAAAGATCCCTACAATCCCTTCAGGCTCCATATCTTTCTCATCCAAGAGTTCACTCTATCAAAGAATTAACAGTCCCTATCTACTTTCCTAGCACTTAATTCATTTTATTAGCAGTTCATCTTAAATGTAGGGCAGAGTATTTATTACTGTTATTTACTTTATAGGATCATCCTTATTTTGTAAATGGGAAAACTGAGATCTAGAGCAAAGGAAGGATAGGTCCAAGGTCATGTAATAGATCAGTGGTGGAGCCAGAGCTTCCGCTAACTTTTAGTTCTTTGCTCTTAGTTTATGGTGCTGCCTGCTTGTGGTGGAGATAGATGATTCCAGGGATGAAGTCACGGATGTTTCAGAGTGCGAATGGAGCCTTGTGCTCAAAACATCCCATTCCTACTGATTCAGGGTATAGCAGCAGGGTTCAGTAGGAAAAAAAGAAAGCTGGATCTGGAGTTTCAAATCCCAGCTTTGCCATTTGCCGCCATACGACCAGAGGAAATATATTCAACTGCTCTGGGAAGGACAAATGACAATAACAACAATCTCTGTTTCCTAGTCTGTAAAATAGAGAGATTGGACTAGATGGCTTCTAAGATCTCTTCTTGTTTTCAATCTATGAAACTATGGTTCAAAGAGAGAACTAGATATTCTACCCTTTAAACTCCTCCAGCCTATTTGGTTATTTCTTCTGGTTATTTCTTCTTTGGTTATTTCTTCTTATTCCTCAGAGCTCACTGTAGAACAGCCGATGTTTGTAATGAGACATCAGACTTCTACGCTTTAGTTATGAAAAATAAACTGATACAATGATCACATATGAAAATGTATGGGGGCAGCTAGGTGGTGCAGTGGATAGAGCACTGGCCCTAGAGTCAGGAGGCCCTGAGTTCAAATCTGGCCTCAGACACATAATACTCACTAGCTGTGTGACTCTGTGCGAGTCACTTGACCCCAACTGCCTCACTCTAAAAAAAAAAATGTATGGACCATTCTGACCCTGTAGCTCCCCTCCCCTCAAAGGAGTTATGTTGTATGATGTGTTCTCTTGTAACAACATAGAATTTTTTGGTTTTGTTTGTTTTGTTTTTAGCAATTACTCAAAGTTCACTTTCTTTGGGGGTTTATTTCACTTACATTATATTCATTGACACCCTGCTTGAACCTGGGAAATCCAAAGTTTATTTTACTTTATTTCATTTTGATGCAAAACTTATGTTTAAGATGTCTGGGCTGATAGTGACATTTATGGTTGCTTATGAATTTTCATCATAACTAGGGAACTGAAATATTAAGTAAGTGGGTTATTTTTTTCTGGCTGACAAAAATTGTTCCAGAGAATTTTGCTTAATTGCACCACCATTTGAGATCATGATAAAGTTCCAATATCTTGCAAAGTTCCATCCTTGAGGAAAATTAACTTAGGGGTTTTTTTAAAATGGTATTTTCCTCTTCCTGCCATAAGAAAACATTAACCTCAAATGGTATGTTTTTAATTTTTTTCTCATCACAGTCAGATGGAGACAAGGCTTGGTACGTCTTGTTCTGGTACTGATACACCGATGTCTTACATGGAGTAGACCTGTGATTTCTCGGGTACAGAGCACCCTTTTGATGAAGGAAATTGCCTCTACAAACACAGGTCTACACCCATGTTGCAACTAAGGATCTTAGAGAGTCTCCTAAAGTACTGAGAGATTAAGTGACTTGCCCAATGTCACACAGCCAGTATATGACAGAGGGAGACCAGGTTAACTTTCCTCTGAGGCTGACTCCTTATCTAATATATCAAGCTGTCTTTCTATTCTCTACACATTCAAATTCAAATCGAGAGGATAAGACTTTCTGTTGGAGGTTACAGAGGAATTAAGATCTAGGGCTAGCTTTACACCAGAAGACATGATTTATTTTTTGTTAAAATATTAATCATTTAACTTCCTGTCTCAGGGAAGGAGGAGTGATAGAATTTAGAACTCAAAATAAAAAAAATGTTAATTATTTTAATATGTAATTGGGGAAAAATAAAATATTATATATTAAAAATATTCATTGTTATAAACATTTACTGTTCCCTCCCATCAAGAGATTAAGAAACCAAGAAAGAAAACTTTCATAACAAATGGATGTAGTCCAACAAAACAAATGTCCATATTGGCCATGTCTCAAAACGTATCTCATTCTGTATTTTAAGTGCATCATCTTGCTGGTAGGAGATGGGTGGAATGTTTCATCTCTAGTCTTCTAGACTTACATTTATCATTGCATTGGTCACAGTTCTCAAGTCTTCCAAGGTTGTTTTTCTTACAATGTTATCCTTATATAAATTGCTCTATTGGTTCTGTTCAATTTACTATTGGTGTTCAGTCATTTTAGTCATGTCTGACTCTTCATGACCCCATTTAATTTTTTTTTTTGTCAAATATACTTGAGTAGTTTGTCATTTCTTTTTCCAGCTCATTTTACAGATGAGGAAACTGAGGCAAACAAGATTAAGTGACTTGCCCAGGGTCACAAAGCTGGTAAGTGTCTTGAGGCCAGAGTTGAGTTCAAGAAGATGAGTCTTCCCGATGCCAGGTCTGACACTCTATCCACCGTGCCACCTTAAATTTACTATACATCAGTTGAAACAGATCTTCCCAGTTTCCTTTGAAATTGTCCATTTCATCATTCCTTGTGGTATTAAATAATATTACACTACATTAATATACCACAATTTGCTTATGCAATCCCCAATAGGGAGATAATCTCTTAGTTTCCATTTTATTTACTTATTTATTTTTTGCTGTGAAATGAGCTGCTCTGAATACATTTTTGTACGTACCAGATCTTTTCTCTTTTTCTTTGATTTCTTTGGGGTATAAGCCTAGTAGGGTACAGTTGGGTCAAAAACTATGTATGGTTGGTAACTTTTTTAAAGCATAGGTTCAAATTGTTTTCTGGAATGGCTGGACCAATTCCCAGCTCCACTAGCTGTGTATCTAGTGTACTGGCTTCCCCATAGCCTCTCCAATATCTGTCATTTTCCAAAGGGTTGGAATCTTCAAGCAAGAACATAATGGGAAAAAGGAACTCAATATGCTACACTAGTGAAAACTAGAGTAATTAGGATTACATAGTTAGCACCAAATGTTGTTATTGTTCAGTTGTTTCAGTCGTGTCTGACTCTTCGTGACCCCTTTGGGGTTTTTTTGATAGAGA